GGGTGGGGCGGTGTGGATGGGGGTGGGGGGTACGAATATACCTCTATTCAGTTTTTATCTCGTTATTCAAGACTCGATCACTGTGCCATTTTTTCATGTGTTTCTCCAGGGTACTGTACACGCTAAAAGGCATCTTACAAATCTCGCATTTGTAAACGTCCTTTCCCACCTGCCCGTGTGTTTTCATGTGCCGGGTGAGCTTGCTACTCTGGGCGCAGGCGTAGTTGCAAAGCTCACACTTATACGGCCTCTCGCCCGTGTGGCTCCGTCTGTGGACGGTGAGATTACTACAGTTCTTGAAGACCTTCCCACAGTACTCACAAGTGTCGCTGCGTCTGCCCTCTTTTGAGCTGGGCCTGCCAGGGCCCGGGCCACTAATATGGGGGGTGCTCCCTCCGCTTCCCGTGCCGCTGCGGCCTGAGATCCCTCCGTCCAGCTCGCCCGGCGGCGTGGAGAAGCGCAGGCTGCCGTTCTCCGAGGAGTGCTCGGAGGAGGAGGCGAAGGGCGATTGTCGGGAGTCGCCGAAGCTGAGGAAGGGGTCCTTCAGCTGCCGGGAGGCGGCGTAGCCCGCCAGCCACTGGGAGTAAACGTTCTCGGTGTTGGGCATGGCGGCGGCCGGCAGGTCGAACTCCTTCTCCAGCTTGATGCGTTTGGAGAAGGGGCTCAGGGAGCTGGGGCTACCCAGCAGCAGCTTTTTGGACAGGCCTCCCGAGGCAGACTCCCCCGGGGAGCAGCCCCGGCCGTTGACGGCCCCCTCGTCGATGCGGTCGGACTCGCCGGCCACTGAGTCTTCGTCGCAAGTGTCCCTGTGCACCTCGGGCTCGGGGAGGTGGCCCCGCTTGTGTTTCTCCCCCAGGACCTGGTGGAAGGCCTCGCTGAAGTGCTGCATGGAGCTCAAGACCATGCCCTGCATGACGTCCGGCATCGCCCGGCCCTCCTCGCCAGCCCGCGAGTTGTTCTCGTGGTGACGGGCCGCCTCCAGGCTCATCCCAAAGCCATAGTCCGGCCTGTCGCTCTCGTTCAAGTCCTCCTCCTCTTCCTCCTCCTCCTCCTCCTCTTCCTCCTCCTCCTCCTCCTCTTCCTCATCCCCCTCCTCTTCCTCCTCCTCCTCCTCCTCTTCCTCATCCCCGTTCTCAGGGATCATGTTGGGGTCGTTCTCGCTCTTGAACTTGGCCACCACGGACTTGAGGGCGCTGCTGGCGCTGCCCACCAGGTCGCTGGTGCCCGGCTCAGGGGAGCTGGCGGTGGAGAGCCCGTCGTCCGACTTCACTGTCATGGGGGAGGACTTGTGCATGTGGGTCTTCATGTGGCGCTTCAGCTTGCTGGCCTGCGTGCAGGCGTGGTCGCAGAGGTTGCACTTGTAGGGCTTCTCCCCCGTGTGGCTCCGGCGGTGGACCACCAGGTTGCTCTGAAACTTGAAGGTCTTCCCACAGAACTCGCAGGACTTGGACTTCATGGGGGGCTGGGAGGGAGGAGGAGCAGACTGCAGAGGAGGGAGGGGCGGCGTGGCCAGGAACGGGGGCTTGCTGCCGGGCTGGAAGGGCTGCAGCAACCTTTGCATAGGGCTGGGCCGGCTCGGGGACAAGGGTGGGCTGGAGGTGTTGCCGGCCAGCTCCCGCAGCCTCCGGGAGAAATCCATAGCGGGGGGCTCCATCGCCATGGGGTTCAGTCGCAGCACCCTGTCAAAGGCACTAGGGTGATGGGTGGCCAGAGCCATTTCTTCCGCACCCAGGCGCTCAATGCGATGCGGATCCAAATGGTGCCTCGGGGGAGGGCTAAAGAGGGGCGGCGTGGGTGGGAAACGCCCTTCTCCCAGCCCCGACGCCTCCCTCGAGACCGAGCCGGGTATTCTGAGCAGGTTAAAAGGGTTATTGTCTGCAATGTGAATCCCGTGGAGAGGTGGCTGGGAAGGGCACTCTGCACCTAGTCCTGTTGGGATACCAACCCGTGGCGTCAGGGGGCTGCCGTGCTCGCTTTCTAGGTAGATCCGTAAGCCGTGTGTGTTCTGCGCGTGCTGCAAGAGGAACCAGGCGCTGTTGAAAGGCTGTTTACATGTCGTACACGTGTAGCTGCTGGGCTCATCTTTACCTGCAAAATAACACAACAAGCAGCGTCAATCTCCGGCCGTCTAGCGGCGGGCGAGCGCTCACCTCCCCGCCTAACCTCCTCTCCTCCTCTGGGACACTCAGCTGGGAGCTGGGCAAGGAACATCCCAGCTGAGGGACAGGCAGGGGGCAGGAATGGGAAGAGGTGAGGGGCAGATCCAAATCCACACCAAGAACATCCACCTCCTCCCGCCTCCTGCCCAGGTCTGGGTTCAAGACTGAACCATGTTGGGTAACCATAGAATAAAACAAGTCAAGAAAAGCAAGAGATGTTAAAGTCAATCAATGCCAGCTCCAATTCAGTTGACTTTTATGTCGCAAGGGGCTGCAGGCATTTAGAGTATTCCTAAATAAATACGTAAACAAATATATAAATAGATAAATAAATACAAAATAAAGAAATTCCTTTCTGAAAAGCACTCCACACAGATCAGTTCAAAGCATCATAACTGCCAGCAAGCTGGGCATCAACACATTTTTAGTCTCCTCCTTATTTTGAGCCTAACAATGTGTACAAAATTAAGAATCAACTTCTGCTCCTCAGCAGAGATTCACCTCTGGGGCAAGGAAAGAAATAAAAAGGACTGGGGTGGGAAACTGAGCACAGGACAGGGAAAGGAGAAGACAGAGAGAGCCGCAGCTCCGCCAGGGAAAGAGCTGGAGGCCGGCCAGGAGGCCTGGCCGAGCGCCCTGCCGGAGCCGCATTATTTCTCTCGCGCTGAAAAGAAGCTGAGGATGGTAAATGCCACTTTGGCAAGTAGTGAGCTAACTCTATTTCATGATAATTTATTTTTGGAGATAACACGGACATTATAAAAGAGCAACCAACTAATAAATAACTAAACAAAAAGCCGGCTAATAATGACAGCAGAAAGCAGCCCCTTCTAATATATGGCAAAACAAGGGGGATGAATAACTTTTTGAGGACCGCCTGCGAGGGAAGAGTGGCGTGAGATATGGTGAAGGTGAGGGTGCCTTTATTGATTACTGGGATTTTGCAAATAATTCACTTCCACCCCCATATGGATGCTTCTTGCTAAATGCCGGTAAACCAGAGCTGGAGCTAAGAGAAGGATATAAATTCATTTCCAGCCTTGTTCAGCAGTTCTCACAGTGATATTTTAACAAATAAAAATAACATTGAGGTTAGCTAAGAGATAAACCAGGAGCCTTCCAAGGGCATCAGCACTTGGGATGGTACTGGCCTTCATCACATATTCCTGCCCTGACTGAACATTTACATCCCAAGGAATCTGCTCCTTAGTTAGCCATCTCTCTTGGGTAAACAGGCTGCACTGAGAGTTGCCCTCATTAGGTTTCCCCTATTTGCCTAATACAAAGAAAAGGAAGATTTTAAAAAACCAAATAAGGCAAATTAGGAAAGGCAACATCACTTTATGTGTGCCCATCTTTTTTCCCATCTCAAGGCGGGGGGAGGAAAAGTGTCATGTGGGCATTTTCCTCCTCAGTGATCTTGGGATACAGGACAGAAACAGGCATCTTTAAGGTCCCTTTCAACCCAAACCATTCCGTGATCCTGAGATCCAGCACTGGCTGTACTGCTCCATCCCAGCTTCCCTCCCTGCCTCCCGGCTCTGCCGCTATTCTACGTTTGGCCTGAGAAGCTGAATCAGGCAAGCAGAGAGCCTCAATCATCTACAGCAGGCATTTAACACTTTAATCACTTTAAAAGCCCTTGGAATAATATTTAATGTTTCACTCTGAAGCCTGCATTGGAATAAAATGCACTGTTGTGTTTAGTATGTGCCAGGCATGTGAGCACAGATAAATACTTAAATCTGCTGAAATTAGAGTGAAATTCAATTGGACTTTCACATTCCTATGCTCATTTGTGAGCTCGGGGGGGAAAAAAATTATCTTGCTTCATCATACTGAAGTGGACGTTTTTAACACCGTGGTGGGAGCTAACAACGAAACACTACCTTGCCTCTCTACCTTATAGATCAGGTCAGGGAAAATAGCATTTTATCTTATAATGAGGATACAACATTGAGCGTTTGCTACCACATTTTAGTATTCCCATCAACTAGATATTCTAGATCGTAAGGGCAGCTCGTGTAATCATAATGTCAATGAGAGGGGCTGTTACGACTGAGACTAAAGATTACATGGAAAAAGCTGCTTTGAAACTGGTAATTATTACCAGTCCACTAATAGCAAATGATGCATTACAGTTTCACCGTATAATCTGTATTTCACTCAGCTCCTGCCAGTGCAGTCTTATTATATTACAGTGCTCACAAATTCTAAATTCCTAAGCTACAGTCATCAATAAATGTGTTACTTGCCATAATTTGCAAAATTACTTTGTTCATAACATCTTCGACTGTTATAAAGACCGGAATTGATTTCCTGCGTGGCAGAATTAGGGCTACATTGACTTAGTGGAGTGTAAAATGTAAGATTATTCTTCATGTGCTTGCTTTCTGAAAAACAAGTTTTCAATTCACTGTCCGTGTTTGGTAATCAAGATAATAATTTACATTTAAAACCATGTTTATATACAAAACTTCCCTAAACAAACCACCATTTTCAAGGGAGCAACGTAAAACCAGGCAAAAAAGACAACGGAGCGAAACAGTTAAAATCCAACAGCCATTTGTCTCCACCTCCTGCTCTGAAGAGACATGATTTCTAATTTGTCTATTAGTGCTTGTTTAATTATGAAGGCTATTGACTGACCATATCACCACCTAGAGATACGTTCCAGTCTGATGCAGCCTTGCCAAACTGCAAAAATTATGGCACTAATCCACAGCAACAAGACGGGTCCTTCGACCGCCGCGGCAATCCCTGGGTTGGGAAGGGACTCGCCCTCCCTTGCTCCCATCCCACCAGCACCGTGGGCTTTTTGGGACACCATTTGGGTCCCCTCAAGAGTCAGACCCAAAGGCCATATCCACTGATGTCTCCTTACTGTGTGGGCCAGGCCCTGTGTCCACACAGCCTTCCCAGCCAACACATCTGGGCATGGCCATGGGCAAGCGAGGCGGGTCTCACAGCAGGGAGATGCAGGAGCTGGTGCTGGCCAAGGACAGAGCTGGAGAAGGTCCCACAGGGCTTTTTGTGCCTCACCATCCACCAGGACAAAGTGATGGGGTTTGTCATCCATTGTGATGCCACTGGGGCCTTCAGCTGATTTCCAGGAGTCAGGAGCCACTGCTGAACCAGCTCTCCTTGGCCACCAGCAGCAGGGCTAGAGCTCACATCCTGGGGCTGGAGCTCACATCCTTGGCTACTTCTCAGTTCAGGAATTTGAGGCTGAAAGGGACTCCCAGCTCTCACCCTATGACCCTCCCTGCAGTACATATCACTCTGTGACCAGCACAGTGTCTTCCAGTAAAGCACGACGCCCTCCAGCCCTGCAAAGCACAGGGCAGAGCACAAAATCCTGGTGAAATCTATTCAAACCAGCTCAGCAAACAGGGAGAGCACCCACTGCTTGCCACCAGTCACAGACGGATATTGGGATCTACCTGAACTTCTCTAGCTCTAACCTCTACCTGTTCTCTTTATATTTTGAGGTTTTTTTGTGGTTGAAACACGGAAAAGCTCTTGGTACACAATGGGCTCCTCACACACACCAAGGTGTTCTTCATGAAATTGAGGCACACTTCAAAATCCAGTTATTTTTTTGTCCTGAGGCCACCCCTCCACTACCCAAGGACCAGCCTAGCCCTTCTCATCCTGGCATCATGCTGGGAAGGACCTGATTTTTCCCTCAGCTTCCCACAGGGCTGATACCTTCCAGGGTACTGCACCCAGCTCTGCAAGCACAACCCCAATTCCACTCTTCCAGCCCAAGGCCACGTGAGGCTGGACCTGGTGTCTTCTCAACTCCTTCCTTTCCAGACCATTAACCTGCCCCTCCTGTTCTGCACCCACCTTTGCTTTGCCCACAGTGCCAATCAACCAGAACTGCATATTCATTTCTAAATCACCAACAAAGCACTAAGCACCACCAAGGCCCCGCCAGCACTGCTGAGCTCTCCAGCTCAAGCCCCACACCCCCCAGTCTGCTGGGCAGCTCTGCACCACCTGTGCCAGCAGTACCACCCATTCCCATCCGCAATGTCTCGGCGCTGTGCACTCTATTTCATCCACATTTATCAACCAAAGTTGTCATCTAGAAGAATGAAATCGGGTTTATTTGACAAGATCCATATTCCATAAATCTAGGCTGAGTGGCGCGAATTATATTTCTATCCTTTAATTCTTTATCAATTTAATCTTATGTTGGTTCTTCTGTTATTTTGCCCAGAAGAGATAAGCAAAGTGTTGCCAACTCTCCCACGTTACCCTGACCAGCTCTTGACAGCATTTTCCCAGTTCATAAGCTTTCTAAAAACCAGCATCACAGGTTAACTCTTCAGGGTTCCTTGGGTGCAACTTTTCAGGGCCTTTTTATTTAAAAATATTTCTCTCCATTGAAGAAGAATATTTTTTCTCTCTGCTCAGATCCTCCCTGCCTACCAATGAGCTAGAAAAAAACAGCACCCACCTTATGATACAGAAACATAACACAGCTGCTCTCCAGGTCTACAGCAGGAATATTTATCAAAAATTTCTACCTAACTGCTTCTTCCATTTATCCCTTCCTTCTCCAGTATCCTGAGAAGCTCTCTCTCTCTCCTCCTCTCCCCATTGGTGCCAGGCACAAGTTTTCCTCAGCATCTCCAGTTCTCCTGACCCGTTCTCTACCCGCCATGGTTTCTCACTGCAATTGATTCCTATCCATTTTCCATTTTTTTTTAATTGTCGTATATTGATTTTTCTAATATCTAATTGCTGTTCTCATCTCACCACTGAAGCGAGTGAAGTGGGTTTTGGACTGGGGCCAAAGTTGCCCTCTCCTTCCTGGACAGCTCATCAACTCTTTACAAATAGCTTCCAATTACCATTCGCATTTTTGTGTGTACATTTTCCTCCCAGTCAATTTTACTGCTCATTTTCTTCCTACTT